TTAAGTGTGTGTATGTGTGCACACCTACATGAACATGCTTGTGTGATTTGGTTGTTGGCAGGGTAACCAGGATGTGATATAATTAGAAAAGGATAGCACTTCATAGCCATTGTCAAGCTTGTTCAATAGAAGGGATTTACTATGGGAAGGGATTTACTAAGGGAAGGGATTTACTAAGGAGCATGATGCATACATAAACAACCAGCACTTTATCATTGTCATCGTCATCAAGGATGAAAGTGTGATGCTTATAAGTCCTTCCTTTACCCATTTGTTCCTTACTCATGGTTTCACTGATTTAATCATCTTAGGTTGACCCTTGTAATATACTATTTAATTTTTTTCATCGTAAAGATAAAAAGAACAAAGAATGAGCAAGAACGAGATGTCTAGGAATTTATGAGAATATGCATAGAAATTAAGATAAACCGGTATAATAGATAGAAATAGGAGCTCAAAGGAGTGGCATCAAGTGTCCCATTCAAATTGGTGGTGTTGTGTTTGACAGTAGTGTACCAGTCCAATCTAAATCCTATGCAGGAGTAACAACTCTCTACAAAAAACTAGGCTTTGTTTGGATACCATTGTGTTTTTCGTATTGTGTTTTTATAGAAAAAACACCATGGTGTTGTGTTTTCTCCCCAAAGTGTTTTTAGAACACCACGGTAAGTGTTTTTGGTCAACACTAGTTTGACCATTTATAACATTAGCATTAAATATATTAAATATTAATTATAATAGAATATATTATGACTAAACTGTTGTAATATTTATTTTACATTATTATATTAAATATAATACAAATATAAAATAATATTATTTTATTATTAATATAATATTACACTATTGTTAGAATAATAACAAATTATTAATTATATTATGTAATATATACTATTAATAGTATATTATTACTAGTATATTATTAATAAATTAATATATTATTAATACTTTAACATTATATTACATATTATAGTTTTTAATTAATATATTAAAGCTTATGAATAACTGTTACATATTATAGTTTTTAATTAATATATTAAAGCTTATGAATAACTCATGATATAAATTAATATTACTACATTATGAATATATGATTATTGCATTAACATTTGTTACCAATACATTATTTTATTGCTAATAAATTATTTTACCACATAATATATTATTTACTATATAATAAATTAATATAATATATTATATATTATATCATTTATATTATATATATTATATAATATGTGCTATATAAT